CCACGCTTTCAGAAGCTTGAGAGTTTAGCGGTTGAAGTTCAGGACGATACCTACTCCGAGGACGACGCCAAAATCTCAAAGCTATTGGGTATGATCGAGGAGAGTGGCGTACACCCAGAACATGATAGCACCGAGTGGCAGGAAATCTTTGAGGAGATCGTGTACCGCCGGGCAATGAAAGACTATGACTCAAGGCCGTGTCCTAACTGTCTTGGCGAAGTCGATGTGCGGTTGACGGTATGTCCGCACTGCGTAGCGGTGTTGATCGCGAATGGGAAACTCACACATGTGGTACCCAAGGAGACAAGAGACCGCAATCAACGATCACCTCCGAAAGATGTCCCAGCCAGTTCTTCCGGTGAAGCAACTTCTGCTGCAGGTGCTAACATCGATGAAGTCATCAAGAAGGCACGCAAGACAGCCGAAGAGGTCATTGACGTCGAGGAATCCGAAGGAGAGGAAGAGGAGGAAGTTCCTATCATTATGAAGGAACGACCGGATGAAGCTGAAGGCGAACCCGAATATCGGGAAGTCCCTCAAGATGGATACGGGAATGAACTTCCGCAGCCTTTTCCCCTTCGCGATTGATGAATTGCCACAAGAAGCTGCTATCCCCATCGACCACAACTTTGCAGTCACACAGCAGTTTGATTTGAGGTTGATGAAGTTGATCAAGAGCTTGGCCAACGCGACGTTCGACATCAACTGCTTTGAGAGTCGTGAAGACGTACTGCGAAGGTTCGACGATGGACAGCGGCATGACACTCCGTACAATAGATGGCCATTAGTACCGAATGATCCGGATACTGGGTTTCCAAGACGTCTCCAGAGAGCCGAGGTCGTAGGCATGACCAAATGGACCAACGACACGTTTGCAACAGAAGCGTGGCAGATCTATGAGTTCCACGCCCACGTTGTTCACCCGATGATGATCACTGCGATCCGCTGCGGGCTTAGCCACAAGTACCTCAAGGAGGTCGGCAGCACTCGGCGTAACATGAGTGATCCAAAGGCTCGGAGGTCTGAGACCCAGGAGGAGATCGTCGAGAAGTTGGCATTCATCTCAAATTTCATCAGACGCTTGATCAGGAAGACCTTCGGAGCGAGCCGATATAGCTACTATCAGAAACCAGATGACGAAAGTGCCGCTCCATACAAATTCATCGACATTAGCCCCGCCATCAAGTCGGAGCGGAAGAATGTCACGAAGGAGATCCTCGTTGCATGCCGCTACTATGGCATAGAGGTATCCGATATCCAAGCACAGAAATTGAAGCTCTTCGAGAACCAGATCCGAGCGGGAAATCCGAGGAACGTTGAGCTTATCAAGGACTACATTGGCTTTGTCGGTGCTGACTACATGCGACAACTCACGAATGGTTGAGCATTGGGGTCATTCCGACATACCACTTCCGGTACTTCATGTACTGAGGGATCTTGGGTAATTCATGATGACCGTTTTGGCATCATGGGAGCGAGATAGGATTGTGTGTTACACCGCTGGTAATCGCATGATACCATAGGTAGGTGCACGTTTTCTGCTTGTAGCTCCGTTACCTGTTTGATCCGACTTTCAGGCAAATGCAAGATCTTTTGCCAATTCAGTTCAATAGAACATACTGGTTGACCTCCAATACACTTTTGAGAATGTGATTCGTTCTCCGGTTTTTACATCCACTCATCTCCCTTCCCCGTCGAAGCACGGATGTGGGGGGTGTCAATAGGGATGAGGTCCCAGTATAGTTGCTATATAGGTACTTGCCATATACTTTTGGCTCAAGTGCCCAACCAGGGAAAAAGGAGCTTTAGCGCGCGAGCTTCATGTTGAACTAAGGGCTAGAACGGGGCCTGGGCACGCCTTTTCATCCGTTCGCAGAAAAACAGTTTGCACGACTTCGCCAGGTACGAATTCTTTGGAAAACGACAGCTGGTCCGGGTCTCAAACGTTGGAGCAGGGCAGCCGAAAAGAAGAGTTCGATCTGCTCTGCCAAAACCACGGCGCTGAGATTTCAACAGCCATTGACTTGTGACTTCGTGGTTTTTACTATTTTTTACGAACAGCGCCATTTCTTTAATTCATCTTGCAATGCGACTACGCAGGTCAACTCTTTTGATCTTTTACCTGGTTTTTCCGGGCGAAAGAGGTGCAGCGGTCCCGCTCCGTCTCTCCCGGTCGGGCGACCGACCGTCTGACCGTCCAGCTCCGTCTCCGGTCGGTGGGCCACCTGAGGTGACGCTCTTCAGCGCTCCCAACTATTGTGGGGAGTTCGACAACGCCGGAGCGATGATGACGTTGGATGAGCGCTCTGGGAGCAGGGAGAGTGATGGAGAGTGGAGTGTTTTTCTCCGGTGGTTTGGAGGAGTGGAGCTTGACCCAAGCCCATCCCGAGCGATCTTCCAAACTCCACGAGTCACAGGTGGTCTTCAGTCAGTTGAGTGGACGTGACAGGGGCACCCCGACTTTGATTTGAAGAGGCCCGGCACCCCCGAGCTATAGTAACAAGGGCATTGCTACTATCAAGTAGCTACTACTAGCTTCTTGTTACTAGTAATGCACTTGTTACTAGTAGCGATGCCCTTGTTACTCTTGGTTGTGCTCCTTCGTCCCCTTGGGCCTTGGGTGGTCACCTTCAACGACTCGCTGCCTCGCTCGGCGCACTGAGTCGGTCATGGGGTGGCTTCGCTGCGGTGGGGCCGAACGAAGGAAGCTTCACCCCGATGATGAACATACCATGGGAAACCCGGTTCCAGCGAATTTCCTCTAGATCAGGCAACCCGGGTTGTCATAAAAAATAATCAACACGGATGAACACAGTGCCAGTGCCAGTCTATAACTGGAACCTGGAATGTCCTTGATTTTTTAGTGCCACTTCTGGACCCTGAACCTGGGGTTCTTAAAGAATTGACAGTCCGGGTGTGAGTGCGAATTGAAAGGGGGATCCATGGGATTGACATATTTACCGACATCGGGGTAGTTTGAGGGGTCAATGTAGGCACAATATGTATTTGTGGCTATAGGTTGATGGTAGACCCACTGGCCGAAGTTCCTTTTTTGCGGAGCCTTTGTGGGGGCACGGTACCAGTTTTAAATAGATCATTTTTCACCTCCCGCACCGTAGCGAAAAAGACGCTCGACCAAGGACCCTGATGTGCAAGTTCATTGTGCTCAAGTGCCCTCCTTGGTGCAGAGCTTCGCGCCGGCGACCCTCCGTGCGACACCTCGCGAAAACGAATTCTGTGAGAAAACGGGCAGCGTCTGGTTGTCGATCTTCGCCTGTCATGCGAGTGCGGAATCGAACCGAACGAAGCCGGGATCTCAAGGTTTTCGCTTCGCCGGGCGGCGTGGATCTCAAGCCTTGAGATGACGATCGATCTGTCCCAAGGCCCACTGCCAAGAAGAAGTGAGGCGAGAAAGGAACCCTGACAGAGATGGCCAAATTCACGGGTGGTGTTCTTCAGCATCGGCTTGGAATCACCAGAAAGACACGCTTGGTTCATCGTTCGCTGTTGCCCACCGTGAACGCTGTCCTCTCTGACCATCCCGAAAACTGTAGCTGAAACACTTAGAAGCACGTGACGTCTTCATGTGCTCTTCCGCCCGAAGCCGCGGTATAAATACCGTCCCTCGGACAATCCGACGGAGGAACCGTGGACCTCGAATCCTTTTCCTTCAGCTGTCCCCCACGAGGTTCCTTCAGCGAGTCTTCGTGGTTTGGACAGTGGAGTCAGCTCGACGGCGGCACCCTCCCACCGAAAGGTGTAGACTATGTACGCTATATGGTGGTTGGAAGCCTATAGGGTATATATTATAATGATTACTATGCACTGGTGGAGTAAATTTTTGTCATTTCATCGTGCAGGTTCATGTCTTCAGATGACACGTTTTCGAAACCAACTCGAGTGAAGATCCTCAGAACTTCCACCCGCGCCACACGGCGCAGTGAGAGCTCCCACCGGTGCCGCTGATCGGTGTGAGAACGACCGCTGGAGTGGTCGGCCCACACCGGCTCCGCGCAGCGAGCCATTTAGACCCAGTCTGCGGGACACCCCTCGGAAGTGACGTCCGGTTTTGATCCACATCTCAGTCGCCTTTTTGGATCCGATTTCGAAGGGCCTGGCGCCCCCCGAAGGGCTGTTCTCGGTCGGTTTCCTCCGATCGTGTCCCCAGAAACAGCATCGATCGGCGCCCCCCATGGGGGGGGGAGCCCGTGCCGATGAGTTCCACGCAGGGAGGACTTGCAAATGCAAGGGCCCCCCCAGGAAAGGAATGAACGATCCGAAAGGATCAGAAGAGAGCCGGACGCGCGCACCAGGCGCCAGCCTTGCTGGCCAAGCTTGAGAAGTAGTTGAAGTAACTTCAAGTCTTGCGGCATCAGACTGTCTTTATGGCTTCGTTGCTTTGTGGCGTGCGGTGGGTGCCTCCGACAGTCCAGTTGCAGCCTGAGTGCCTTTAGAACATTCGCATGAAAAGGAGCGCGGAACCCGCGCGGAACCCACGAGCGCACGCGTGCGCTTGAGGTCTTCAGAGTGTGGCGAAGCTTAAGGGAGCATGATTGGACCGGAACTTGAGATATTGCCGGTGTACCGCATCGGCCTAGCCCCTACACCAGGGCCCGAAACCTGCCAGGTCACCACCTGTCACTTTAAAGGTCAGTCTGCAAGAATCAGAGCCCCTAGAGGACGAAGCAGGTGCTGGTAGAAGTGATTCAGAGATCTACCGTCCAGGGACGACCTGCCGACATGGCATTCGACCGCCTTTAAAAGCCAGTTGGAGAAAGCCCGAAGAACAGACGACGTTCTGTTAAGGGATAAGTGGCGGAGAATTCCACATTTGGTCTCATTTGGAGGCGTTTGCCGCCGCTGTAAGCTTCAAACCTTGTGAGGAAAGAACATGCCCAGACACCCAGGCAGTGCTTGGCTTCAGACATCAACAGCAGCAAAGTCACAACTTGCATCAACTTGGGGCGGCTCCAGCCACAAGAACTACCTTGGCTTTGGCTGAACACATGTGAAAGCTAGCTACATGTGCTACTTCTTCACGTTTCGCCACCGGAAGCCTTCACCGGCGCCAGCTCGCTCGTCTCCGACCCGACCCGAGGGGGACCGACCTGAAGCCGGCCGATGTTGAGTGCCTCCGACCCGTATTATGTGGCCAAGGAGGAAGTGGCCAAAGCCATGGAGAAACTCCAAGGCGTTGCAAACGAGACGGAGAGTCTTGCGGGCGAAGAAGAAAAGGGGGTGGTGAACGAGGTGCCAAATTGACTAAGGGAGACTCGCTGTCCAAGCAAGAGGGAGATCTACTATGCTTTTTACCAGACGTGTGTTTTCCAGAATGATAGGCATACTGTCCTCAAAGAAGCCATATAGTTTTCTGCCTGTGTTTGCTTGCTGAGTTGACACCATTTTGCAAGTGGTTGGTCATGTTTCGGAGGGGAAGCGTAGCCTTTCGTGAACACCTTTCGTTCGTCGAGGCCTTCATCAAGACTGGAAGAGGTCGCTGCAGGCGGAGGATACGGCACGGTCTCACCGCTTCCAGCAACTTCACGAAGAGATCACAGGCAGCGGCCCCGGGACCGCAGGGGACCGCCGGGGCGATCGTTTTTCTCTCCGCGCCAGGGGAGTTGGAGCAGCTGGGACTTGACTTGGATGATATCCACGTGCCGTGGCAGAAAAGAGGGACCACAAGCCCTTGCGCTCGCACAAATGTTGGAGAGGCGGCATCTATATGAAGGAGTATACCGTATATATATATAAGATAATGAAGATAATGGAGGCTATATACATATATATATATATTACTTTTGGATACTATTCCCACCAAAAAAGCCATTCCAAAACGCCCCTTAAAGAAATCGCTTGGAATCCTCCGCGGTTGGTGGGGGTGGGAGAATGGGAGTCTCACTGTGGGGGTGGGCACCAAGGCGGCAAAGACTAAGACCTAACACTTCCGATCCCGTCGACCTAGAAGTGTGGGCTTGTCCAGCCTGACCGGGTGGGTTTCTGGAATCCTATTGGGCTCTATTCCTTGATTTTAAGCACGCTTAGATACCCCTGCACGTCTGAAGTCAGCTTTCCCCAGACAGCAGCACAGAACCGTTCCTTTTGGCCGGTCTACCGGGTCGGAACCGGTGGGCCGAGGTCTTGTTTTGGTTATGACTTCCGTTTTCGACCCGGGTGGTCGCTTTGCACCTGAAGCACCTGAAGCCCAACCAGTCCAAGACGAAGACCAACACCGGAACCCTGGTTCTGTCGGTTGTTCCGGACGGGTCAAAGCTGCGGCTCCAGGCCACCATCAGCATGGTCGAAGGGAATCGCAGTAAATTCCAAGTGAGCGACGGCGAGCTGGCGAGTCGGAAGCGCTTTGCGAACGACTGCCACAAGACCTTGGAGGAGTTGCAGAAGGACCGCGGGAACGTGGAGCGACTCCTGAGAGGTCGGGCGGGAATTCAGAGGATTCGCTCGCTCGGTGGTTCTGTTTTTTTCGGGTTTTCGCGAGCCGCTCGGTGTTCGCGCTGGCTCGCCCATCCACTTCGGGGGCTCCTCGGCGGAGTTGGACATGGTTTTGGGGTGCCCTCCTCGGCGGATGACGCTTGGATTACACCAATTGTAAACTCTTGATTCATGGGCGCCCGCCCCTTCTCTCAGAGGTTGTTCCATTCAAATTGAGAGACACCATTTAGACTCTTGCAAGAGTCTACATTATGTTGAACCATCATGCATAGCAACATATAGCAACGACTCGTTTGAAGAATCAATTTCTTGAACTACCTGCGAGCTTGCGGGTAGTGATGCAGAAATCTCCAACCACCTGATATAGCCATCATAGGGCTGACTCACCACAAGTACAAAACCTAAACCTAATTATTAGCAAAGAAACATGGGTTTGACTTCAATGACCCAGTCAAGACCCTCGGTTTTACACAACCTCCCAGTTGAATTGCAGAACCTCTTCTACCACTCGGGTGGCTCATCAATCAAGAGTCTACCAGTCGACTCATCAAGCCGTTGGCTCAGCGCTTCGTCGCAGGATGTCCGTGGGCCACAGACTCGGATGAAGCTCGAGAACGACAAGAAGGCGATAAACCCGAAGCGGAAGACTTTGCCCCCCCAAAAAAGGCACTCATCGCTAAGCCGCTAGGGACCGTGTGCAGCTTCTTTTGTTTCTCCTCATGAGATCTGTATATCGATCTTTTGTAGCTATAGCTCATGAGTCTGGTAAGACTATAAGACCTTTAAAAGCATCATGAGTCTAGGATTTTTTCCTGGCATCTATCTCCAAGTTGGGTCAGACATCACTTCCATTCGTTCGCCCCCCCAAAACACACGCCTTCCTTCACCCAGTCATCGGCTCGGGCGATCTGTCACCGATCGCTCGGGCGAGTCGCGACCTGTGCGACCAGAAGAAATGGGATGAAACGGTTGGAAGAAAGTGGGAGGTTTTCAAAACACATTGGTTGGAGGTCTGTTTGAATCACCATTGGGCGATTGAATAACAATGACAGTTCCATATAGTTCCATCAAATTTTTTAGTATGTGATTTTGCTGGCTGCACTGGCTATTGATGCCATAGGCCATTGAGACTCCTTCGGGGTGCCAGGCACTGCTGTCTTCGGCCGCCTCCAGTGCTCGCAGCAGTGGCTGGGCTGCGGACGGCAGACCTATATATGAGGTCAACAAAAAATACCGGTAGACGAGGACATTGGCATATAGTTAAAGACATATTATGGTTAGTGCAGATCATAGACTCCATTATAAGTACCTCGGCAAATGGGTACTTGTTTTTATGGGGCCATGTCCCATTTTCTATAGAGGGTCCAGGTGCATGTCTGTACCGGGAACACCCTGGCCATCGTCCGCTGTCCGAGGAGAAGAGCGCCAGAGGAGTGCTATGCAGGAGCCACGGGAAGGTGGCACGTCGGGTCGCCTTCTCTGCCCGGCGCGGCCCTCCCGGCTTCCCGCGCCAGGAGAACCAGGCGTTTCTGGATCGCCAGCGGCAGCAGCAGATGCAGATGACTGCACAACAGGATGAGGAGCAAACGACATGCAAGATGAAAGACGTTGCCATGACTGGCACCATCATCAAGCCAGTTTGAAAAAACAAAAAAACATACGCAGTAAGCTGAAGCCAATCTAATTACTCTGTCTTACCTTCGGCAGAGTTCAAGTTCCACGGCCACAGGGTTGAGTTAATTACAGTTATTTAGTCTGAAGATCATAATGAGAATCTCCACCGCTTCGTGTTGGCACTCAGCCGTTGACGTACGGCCGGAGGACTTGGAGATGCTCTCACTGAGTGCTCAGCGCCTGGGAAACACGGCTCAGCGGCTCGGACCAGCTGACAGTGGACTGCTCCACCTGTCAGTGCTGCTGCTGCTGCTGCACTGCGCCCGGGAAGATTTACAACCTGAAAATGGAGCTTTGTAAGACGACTTTCCTCTACAACCCGACGTGGTTTTGAGGTTCCACGTTGATCTTCCAGGGCACATCTCGGCTGGTTGATTGGTTGGAGACCACGACTGTCACGTGTACAACCATTCGGTGCACGGTCGAGTCTTATCCCTTTAGCAGTGTTGTAGATGGCTGGGACCGAATGGCCTGGACAGCTCCACAGCTCTGCCGTTTCCCTTTAAACCTCGCGGTCCGCGAGGTTTGAGCTTTCGTGAAGGAATCGAGTGGATAGACAGTTTTCATGAACATCAGGACGCCGGTCCGTCCAATCGAAGCGTCCAATTGAAAGAAAGAAAGAAAGAACATCAGGATGGACTTTGGGATTGCCACGATGTACTTGGGATTCAAAACATCGATCTCCCGTGACGTGCAGCGACGCGTGCAGCGCCTCGTGGAGCTGCTAACCCTGCTCCAAAAAGACCGGTCGGACGCGATGGACGCGAGGCGTCCGGCGTTTTTGTTTCTGTTGTGGCGCCAAGGATCATCAACGTCGAGCTCAAGGAGCAGCAGAAGTTGCTTCAAGACCTGGACGAGGAGATCGATCGACCGGTTCCGGGTCGCGGCGTGGCCTGTTGGGGTGTTTGTTGGGGGCGCAGAACCAGCGCAGAACCACCGTTCACGACCGAGAACCCCGTCCTGGATGATGGATGATGATGGCATATTGCACCAGTTATGGCACCCTAGGATCCTATCATAGAACCTCACAAGTGCTGGTGGTGCAGAGGGGTTAAGGACAGAATTGGCATGGAGCTCGTATCCCAGGAACTTTGGCATACCACAAGTAATCTCTTGGCAGCTGAAGGGCCCAACCTTAGGTCCCAAACCACGGACCCTTGGGTCCCAAACAGGTTCATCCAAAACGCCCCAGGAGGGTTCGAACCAGAACCCCCCCCCACGATCCCCGTTGGGGGTTCAACGGCTGTGCGTGGTCTCCCGGTCATCCGGGAGATTGCCGGGACGGTCCGAACTTCGGACTCGCCAGGACATCGACAAGGAAGCCGAAAAGCTGAACTTCGTCGGGAGACCCCGGCACCGGAGGAGAAGAGAGAGAGATCCGCCCCCCAAAAGCCCGGCCGAAAACGAAGAGGCCCGTGCGGCGATAGTAGGGGCGCGGAACAAAGCCGTTTTGGTTGGAGTCGTTTTGGGACTCCATAGTCTTGGGTTGTCAGATATATATCCACCTCCGCCATATGCAGGGGGTACAATATGAGTAAATATGAGTCATGACTGGACTTGGGAAGAGTCCGACTGGCCGCTGTTCACAGGGATGTGTTTTGCCAGTTGCCCGGCATTGTGCCAGGCAGGCATGGTCTGTTCTTTTCAGTCGGACTTCGGATTCGATTTCTGGACAGAAGCCCAAGGTCATGAAGCGAATTGGAAAGCTTCTGAAGACCAGTGACAGCAAGCAGCAACTTGGCGAAGTCAAGATTTGTACTTTCATGTATTTTCCATCGTTTGGAGCTAGTGCTTTGCCAGTTGTTTGCTCCTGTTCGAGCTGCATAGCTACTGGGTGAACCCTCTCAACTGTCTGCTCCTGACAGGTTATGCTTGATCATTGGCTTGACATGCTTGGTCGCCTTCCTCCTCTTCTTAGTGATCAACACCTGAAGAATGACCAGTAAGTAAGTTTTAGTGAGATGTGCAGCATGGCAACTTGGAGCTGCCAAAGGGGCATTGGAAACAGCAACCACTCAATGAGAGGACCTGATATGATCTGATATGTACAACAAGCAACAACTGTGCATGTGGCCCGGTGATGACTTTGAGCTGAACCCAAATCTCCTTGGTTTCTGTGCAGTGAAGACACCTGCGATGCAGACGTGTTTTCTGGAATGCCCAGTACAGCGACGGGCGCATTCGGAAAATGAGGCTTAGCGATGGGTGAACATGAATGGGGCAGGGGTTGTAGGGGGTACATGTTGGTGGTACAAGTTTCGCCCTTTTCCTTCCGTTTTCGCTGGGGCAGGATGGGGTCTGAAGGTCTTGCGTGTTTGTTTCCTTCATGGCAGATGTGAAGCTTGGGCCAAGAGGTGACTTCAGCTGGCTCAAAGTATGCCAGTGTCGCACAACTCTTGTGGCTTGTCATATCTTTCCACCAAGCACTTTGGATTGAGAAGCAGCAATGCTCAACACCTAACCTCATCCTTCCACTAAACCTCCTACCTACCACTTCCACAGGGTGCCCCCTCTGGAGACCGCTTAAGTAGGGTAGGCTAAGTCGAGTCGAAGGCCAGGACACCCAGGATCCGCCTATATCCGCCTATTAGTGGCCTATATCTATATATATATATATACCATCCGGAGACCTCTTAGTCATTCACCATGGATGACTACCATGAGATGGAACTCTCCAGGCGCGTTCGTCACACCGGGTCAGACCGGCGGACCGGTGGGTTGGTCGACGGTGGAGCACCGGAGCGGAGCGGAGCACCGGACGGCGGGCTCCAGTCGTGGTGAAGCTGAGAAGGTAGGTACGACTGGAAGATCGGAACTCCAAGTTACCATGTTCGAGCGACTTCGGGAGGGAAACAATCTGAACATGAAGGAACGAGCGGAACGAGCGCCGCGTCGCAGGCGGAGTATTCAGATCTCCGACCTGCGGGACGCCCCTCGGACCGCGCGGAGATGCTTTTGGTGGGGACCCGCGGAGAGGTCGGGACTCGTGGGGTCTGTCTTTGTGGTGTTGTGTGTCGGACGAGGTTCGGCGGTTTTAGGAGGTTGGTTAACTTGGTTTGTTTGGCTCTGTATTATTTGTTGTAGTATATGTATGTATATATATATGTTTGTTGCTCCTGATTTATGTTTAGCTTTTTTCTTCTCCCCAAGTTCGGGACGTGGGAGTCCGAAACGATATGAACTGCGAGAGATACCCGGGTCGAGTCACCGGGTTCCAGATCCTGTGGCTCGATCTAAACCTGAGCTTAGCTTCTGTACTAGATGGTCAGATTCCGGAATCACACCATCAAAATAACAGCACCTTCCCAACAAAACACATGGGGTAGCATGACGTGATGCCTAGCTGAACTTTGCAGATGGCGATGGGGAGAGAGAGAGAGAGAGACAGAAAGAAAGAAAGAAAGAAAGAAAGAAAGAAAGACAGAAAGAAAGAAAGAAAGAGAGATGACGTGATTCCCTACCTTCCTGCACCTCAGGATTTGCTCTTCCACCGCGACCGCCATCAAGAAGCAGAGGACCGCACCGCGCAGCTGGAGCGGCAGATGGCCAAGCAGAAGGCGCGCGAGCCGTCGCTGGTGGCACCTGAAGGATAGCTGGACGATCCTCACATGTGCCAAGTAAGTCGCGTGGCGCTCGTTCACTTGAGCGCTCTCCGCCGAGCGCGTCGCTGAAACATGCTGAAACCTCCCAAAACCTCCGAGCGGCACGGCGACGGAAGGCTGAAATGGCCATCCGAAAGGCTGCAGCCCAGGCTGGTACCGCCGCCGAGGGGAAATCCACCGTGCTGGTCGCTCCCGTGGTTGGTCGCTCAAAGGAACGTGTCCTTTGGTGTGGCTTGGATGGCTCGCATGCTGGGAGTTGTGGTATGTTGTGGTATTCGTTCTCCTTGATCCATCTATCATCATTTATTGTGTCATGTTATGATGTTATGATGTCAATATATTTATGTGCATGTTCATCCTTCAAGATCCAGAGGTCACCCTTCTGGTTTGCAGGAGATGGAGGCTCAAGCGGCCGCAGATCAGGTGCGCCCGGAGGGGGGCGGATTCGGTCGAAGCTTTTTGCGAAGTGACGGCGACGTAGGGAGCTGTGGGGGTAAAGATGATCTTGGATCTGTCCGTTCTTACCTGTAACAGTCAGCGAACAATTGTCACTATTTTGTAACAAGGCCCGCAACCTTAACCATCATCCACTGTTACTGGTAATGGGATAATCCATATTCCATTCATATTCCTACATATATCTCCCTGAAGCAGGGAGCCGGAACTCAGAGCAACCCCTTGCTAGATCAAGTCTCGTCCATTCATCCAAGCGACAGTGTGGCTCGATCGGATGAGGCGTTTTGCTTAGAGAACCAGCGCTTGATTCAAGAAGATGAAGAGGCGACCACCCGCGCTTTTTCAGGGGTGCTGCGGAGGAACCACGTCATGCAAAGCGACATGATGTAGTGGCAGATCGAAAGGGGGGACATCATGGGAAATCAGAACTCTTTGGTTCAAATAACTCTAATAGTCATATAGTGATAAAAAACATGTGAAAGCACGAGGCCTTACACAGCTCGGACCAGTCTGACTGCAGGCAGCTGAAGCTGAAACGACACGTCTCAGGGAAGCTGTGGCGAGAAGCTTGGGAAAGGATCGCTCGGCCAAAACGATGCAAAAGCGTCCAGTCGACGTGTTCGAAGGCTTGGTCAGCGTGATGCGCTGACGTGAATTGTTTTGACATGTTTTGAACACACCCCCTGACCTTTTTGATAACACCAATGTGGGGCACATGGGCCTTCAAGGTCATACGTAAGGGCGTTCCAGGGCCCCCCGGTTTGAAACGGGATGTCATAGCTCCTGGTGATTCGGGGTATCCATTCACCACCCCAAACAATAGGGGGCCCTGGTCTATCTCATGCCGAGAGCTGAACACGTTGGACCTGCTGGCCATCGTCAGTCCCGTGGGACCCCGGCGGGAATGCGACGGCCGAGAAGCTGGTGGGTTTTGTCCGGGCTGTACTCGACTGCCCAGTCCTCAACAACATCCTCAAGATCCAGGTATGTCATCATATGTCTGTTCTTCTTGATCCATCAGCTCAATCCAACCTTCGGGAGCTTAAGGCAGGTCCCCAGAGGCCCTCTACCCCCCCCCCTTTCCGGACGTCCAGCCCCTCGGGTCGCATCCGTCGGATCCGAGGCGAAGGCCTCGGAGTTGCTGCAGAAGGCCCAAGTGCAGGCCGTGGAGGCAAGGCCGTGGAGTCCACGGGCGCAGGGGGGAGCGGGCGGAGCAAGAACCAGAGGCCATGCGAGAAGAAATGGACTAACAAAAAGAGAGAGAGAGAGAGAGAGAGAGCACCTGCGATGATGGTTGGGGTGCGAGGGTGGTTGGGGGGTGAGAGACATTTCCGTGTGGGGTGCGAGGGTGGTCAGGTCGTTCTTTTTCAATCAAGGTCTTGGCAGGGAGACGCGGTCAGCGAAGCAGATGGAGCAGTGGAGCGATCCAGTTTTGAGTGGACGACGCGGTCCTTGGAACCAGGTGTTTGAAAGATAGATTGAGGATCACAGGCTAAAGGAGCAGGAAAGGAGAGGAGGAGGTACTTGAAGGGATCAGTTGGAGGAAGTGCCCTTCAGTGGAAGGGAGAAGGAAGAGGAAAGGATAGAGCCTATATTCGCGTTCGTGAAGTGGTGGGTCCACAATAACTGCCGACACGAGTTACAGCTAACACCACCCAAGAGCAACTGCCCCCCTAACCCCTGGAAACCGAAATGCTTGACGTCAAAAACAGAGACTTTTAGAAGGAAAGAACAGCAGGAAGGGAGCGACAAGGCCAAGGACGGGACCCTTTTGCAGTCACAATTTCGGCAGAAAGTTCTTGGTACAGTGGTTTCAAGAGTAGATGGGGGTCGACATTTCCACCCCCACAGGGCAGTCAGGTGTGCTCTTCTTCAGTGGCATGGCACATGTGCCGATATATGTGGTCCGCTAGGCCGAGAAAGCTGCAGAGGCTGCGAAGGAGCAGGCCAGACGAACGTGATGGGCCGTCAGACCTCGTGCGACCAAGTCCTCCTTGAAGTGAACGAACTCGGTGAATTGACACGTTCGAGCATGCAGATCATGCAGCCTGAGCCAGGAGCCAGTTAACTAAATGTTCACTACGTATACGTTCCACGTTCGCCCTGCCCAGAGGCTCCATGTCGGCCGTCCGAGAAGAGCAAACGTGCTCTGAGCCTTTGCCGAGGCCAAGGCACGGGCCGAGGAACATGCTCATCACGCACGGTGCTCGGAGGATCACGGTGCCCAACGACACGGCGGGAACGGGACCGAAAAACATGGGACGAAGCCATCATCCAAATCTCCCTTATAAAAGCATGATATAAGATATGCTGCAGCATGAGCCATATATCATGTTAAGTTCCGAGAGCCATTCCGTGTTTTTGCCCTCAATGAGCTTAGTTTGCTGGTGAACACTTCAGATCAGCTCGGTCAGCGACTGGTGAACCACGTCACCAGTTGCTTCAGCTGAAGTAATTCGTAAGCCAAGCAGGCAGTTACACTTGGCTGCGTTCTTTGTGGGAGGATGGCACCCTTTTTCTTTGTTCACCTGTAGCTTCGGTGACGATCGCTGAGCATCGCGTTCGGCATCGCGTGCCACGGTGCATTGCTCAGGCTTTGCAGCGTGGAGCATTGGAGGCCGCCATTGCGACTGCGACAGAAGAGATGGAGAAGGTTCAGGACGATGAGAGCACATAGTTTGCACGAGAGCGTGTGAGTTCCTGCAAGCAACATCTTTCTCCACCAGGACCCTCCAACAGGTCACCCATTGAAACCTGTTAGGGCCCTTCCCAACCCATTTCGGAGACCTGTTAGGGCGCAGATCGGGTGCTTTCTCCCAGAGTGACCACGACAGCCCCTCTGCTCGACGTCTCGGACAGTCTCGTCGTCTCGTCGTCGCTCCGAGGAGAAGATCCGGGAATTGGAGTGGGTGGCTTAGCGCAGACGCATGTCCAGCCAACGGGAGTTGGCCAGGTTGATCAGGCTGCTGGTTGATTTACCGCGTCGTGCAGCCAGGTTCGGTTTGGAGGTGGAGAGGAAGGCGAGTGAGGCGGGGCACGTCCCACCCGCCCCGGTTGACCGCCGTTGACCGCACCCTGCGAGAAACGTCCGATCTGGAACCGCTGCGGCCGACGGCCATGAGGAGCTACAAGGCCAGGTGGAGTTGGCCGAGGAGAAGCCGGGACTGTGTCACTCAAGCAATGCGATTTTGTGGGATGATGGATCATGATATGAGGCTCATGAGGTGGAGTTGGTGCGGAGTGCGGACGATCATCTGGGGGATGCGGAGGTTGAAGAGGTTGGGCTGACAGTTCGGCATACAAAGGCCATTGTTTTGGAACTTCAGCCAAGCCCATGTTGAGCAAACAGCGGCAGAAGAGGCAGAAGGTGTTCTTTTAGAGACGCTCGGAGGCCATACTCGACCTATTTTACACCAAAACCCTTTCCGGCTCAAGGGCGGAATGGCTGGAGACTGGTGTAACAGCACCGATTCGGAGCCCGTGTATTCCGATCATGGCTTTGTGGGCCTTGGCTCCTACATCGTCTATTGCGTGTCAGTGTCCTTGCATCTCTTGTGCACACACTTTTTCAAGGTGAGGATCAGCATCAGCCTTCTGCGGCACTGCGCCATACAGGATATTAAGAATTCAGCTCGGAATGCCTGGACCAACATTGGCGTCACTTCCTCCTTGGTGATGACCACCGTGGTTGGGGCCTTGATTGAAGGACGGGAGCGTCGACACCCACACACCCACCCACGCAGGCTGGGCGAACCAGCATTCGGGATCACCGGTCCGGTCAAGCAAGAGATCCGCCATGACCCGCAACCCAATCCGAATGTGAACCGTCCTGACCGGTCCGACTTCCGCGCCGCTACGCCCAACCAGGGGGGGGCGCTGGATTTCTCCGTTCACCTCCCACGCTTCAGCGATGAGTGTCGACGAACGAACGACGGGTTCGAAGTCACAACGCCACCCGAAGTCGTCAATATAGACCATTAAAAGAACGGTTGAGCTGGTGGTGTAGTGTACAAGTCCTTAGTAAAACAATAGTTCTTTGGTAACGACCATTAAAACAATGGTTGTTTGATGTTGTTTGAATCCTAGGGTAGACTTTTTGCCAAAGGGGAACATCACGGAACATCTACGCAGGGTCGATTCCGAGTAGGTGAAGGTATGGCAGGTCCTGATTACCTTTTACTGTACCGCTGGTGATGAGCAGTTTCGAAGTGTGTTCCCTGAGGACACGAGATGTCCCCGCAAGGCTTTTGCATGGAACCTCTTCAGCTTCTTCATCTTCAGCAGATTTATGCGTCTCTATGTATCACTTGCTTGTTTGCACCTGACCTGTCATTAAACTCAGCGACCCAAAGACTCGCTGGAAACAGGCTCAAGCTTTGCCCTGGGAGTCAAAGACTATAAAAAGGAATGGTCTGACTCGGTGACTCGAGTCTAGGAATGTCCTTTACTTCAGTTGGTCAACATATCGTCGAACTGGACTTCTAGGGTTTGAAGTTGATTCTTGTTTGGAACACAGGCAGCACCGAATCACAGAACATTCCGGACATCATAAAAGAATCAATCACTCCGGGCCAGTGGGGCCTGTGCACATCTGTGCACTAGTGTTTGCTGTGTCACCTTTCGCCGAGGCAAACATCAACTGCATCATTTACTGCGTGCTCAACCTGTTTTACTGGGATTCGTTGACCGAGTCGGATGCCATTGGCTTCCTGCGGGAGAATCCGCAAGTTTTAGGAGAGACGGTCATTTACATGGTGGAATCCTATGTCTTCTTTGTCTTGGTGATTGCCACGTGGTATTATGCCACTTACGGGCAGCGCCTTGCGACGGGCATCTTCATTTCGATCACCGCCACGTGTATCGCGAACTTGGCCACGGTCTGGGCCAACTTGCTCCGCTGGCGGCGGAACAAACGGTCAGATGACTTTCCGACGTGTGGTAAATGCTGTAAGGGGAAGGGGCGGAAACGTCCGGAGGAGTTGGAGTGGTTTCAGTTGATGGATTCCATGGTGCGCTCGGACACCGCCGTTTCCGAGCAGGGTGCTGCAGCGGCCTCGACCGACGCGGCCACGGACGAGGTGGACACTCCTCAGGAGCGAAGGGTGACGAATGAAGCGAATGACATGACGAATGAAGCCTGTGAAGGTGCCGAGAGGCTGCATGCTCAAAGAACTGCGGTCGACCGGAATGAAGAGATCACAGAGTTCCATGTCTAAGGAACGAGGCAGGAATGGTGGATCTCGTTCAACCAGATGCTGACAAAGTATCAGCAGTTTTCGTAGTTTCTGTGGAGGACCAACTGGCTTTGCCTGCTTGGACTTTGGACCTTGAAGCTTTCTGCTGTAGGCACGGCTGTCTGGGTGACCTTTGCGGCAAAGACCGGCCAAAACCGCCACGACGACGAAAAGCGGGAGGCAGCGACTCGAGTCGCTGGAGCCTAAGCTGAAGGCTCTTTAGTGGTCGTGTGATGTCGGCATCTTAGACCCCTTAGGCCCCGGTGGCTCGCTTTGTAGGTCCTGAAATCAGAAGCCGCGGGGCTAGGTTTCAGCTGATCTCCACGGGGTTTCTGCCCTTCTCCACGGGGCCTCTCGACCAGGAGAAGGTTCAGCAGACGCAAGGTGAGTGTGACCGATTGTCGCAGATCTTGGAGGCTGAGATGCGAAGCCAAAGTTGATCGTTGTGCGGTGTGCTGACGGCTAAACGAGCAAAGTGAAGACGCTGACTACGTAGGTTCAGGTAGGGAGTTGCGTTTTTCAAGGGTCTGTTGAAAGACCACATACCGACCTTTATCCATATCGTTGATCGAGTGGTCTTCCAACCCGGCCAACCCGGCATCAAACGCCGATCTGCGGGGTCTCCGCGTTTCGCGATCGGCCAGGAAGTGCATCAAAACATCAACATGTCAGCAATGAGATACCTGGAACCCAAACATACACCTGTCTTGATGGGAAAAGACCCTATTTTGGGGCATTTGCAGGTCTATGATAGAGGTCACTCAGGGTCCAGGTAAATACTATCGATATGCTCGAGGCCCATCAATGACCCATCATCCATTTTTTCGCTGAGCGGTCGCAGTCGTTGAGCTGCCGCGCGAAAGAAGACTTGCGGCGAGCCGGGCGCCTCATTTTGCTGTGACACAGTGTGAGGACACAGCGACATGAAACGCGGGCGGCACTTGACGGCAAATGGTCTCCGTCATCCATGGACACACCAACGGACGTGCGCGTGGTGATTAAGCCTTTCAACCATGCACTTAAACCGTGCCAGTTAAAACATGTTAACACAAATCGTTTCATGTTTCTTTCATTTTCTAAGTTGTGTTCGGGGGCGGGGGTTCATCCGGATGTTGGAGGTTTCGTGACAAGGTCATGAAAGGTGCACCAATTCACAGCAGGGAGATGCACTGTGCTGCCACTGGCCGACCAGGCGTTGGAAGCCACGCAGCGAGAACAGATGCGGCTCACGCAGGAGTGTCGGTTGCGAAGGGGGGGGACACAGGCCTAGAGATTGTCCAGCGGTCGAGCGTGGAAAGGGTTCGAGTTGGTGAGAAGATGTTAGAAGACCAAGAATCCCAGTCCCAACCATAAAACGACTGGATGTTGCACTATGTTGCACCAGTCCATCAGTCTCAAGCACTTGCTATGTCAAGGATCTGTATTGCTGAGTTTGGAACAAGCAATTGTCCCCGCCACAATGTTAATGAACCGTTTTGATTTGTTGACTTATCGAGTCCAGCTGTTCATTCAGATCTTGCTTTCCACATGCCTTCCCGATCTGAATGCATTTTCCTTCTTTCGGCGTCATGTTTCTTTCTGACATGATCTTTAAACTTTCTATAGCTTTCGTTTAGACTTCTTACAAGAATGCAAATACCGTTCAATTACCCTAGAAGTCCTAGAAGTCCAGTTCGACCATATTTTGACCAACTGAAGGAAAGCATATTCCTTTTCTCGGGTCACCGTGTCAGATCATTCCTTTAAAAGTCTTTGGCCCCCAGGAATATATATTCTTCGGTTTTGCCAATCATCTTCACGTGAGACCTGAGAATCTCAGTGCTGGGAGTCTCACGCGACCCGACCGGCCTCGTCATCTCACCTGCAGGAGGTGGCTCAAAAGCAACGAGACTTGCTTCTTCAATCCCAGCCAGGGATCCCTGGACGCCCCTTCACGCGACGCGACGCAGCAACCATGAGCAACCAACCTCTTCCAATGGCCACTGAAGAGTTCTCCCTCACTCCGTGTCGGGTCCGCGCGTCGCAGAATCGACACTTCGACCTAACCGGTCGACCCAGGTCGATTCAGGGGCGCTTGGATGAGACCAAAAGGCCATGATTCTCGAGGGGGGGGCGGAGCGAGGAACGAAGCCGCTGGGGATGGAACTGGAGAAGCCGAGTCTGCCGACGAAGCTGAGATTGAAGGAAGTGGATCAGACAGGGATGTCCCTCACTGAGAGGCAGGAGTGATGCCTAGTGAGGTCTGAGCGACCTGTGTGCTGTGTGCTGTGCCTTTAGACTACCCAGTGACCACGGAGCAAAGCTCAACGGACCACTCTGGGCGAGCGACTCGAGGCAGATCCAACAGACACGACAGACGGCCGCCGGAGCCCCAGCAGTTCCGGGAGGGTTCTGAGTCGGTCCCTGAAGATGACATCATGTTGAACTGACTGGGTTGATCATCCATTGAGCACGCGTGAGCTAGCTGGAGTTGTCCTTGCTTTAGCAAGTGAGGGGCTGGAATCCTCGAGATCGCTGCATCACGTGAAAACTGTAGAGGGCCCCCCACCCCCGCGGGTTCAACTCCCCCCTGGGCCGCCTCTGAGACGGACACCTCTTGGACACCTCTTGTGGCATCCACTTTGGTTCAACTCCTCCGTGGAGGTTTTGGGATACGATGCTAAGGTTGGCTGTGTCATTGCTGTTCGTGTGTCTGACATGTTCACAACGTTTTACCTCATGAGCGAGACCTTGTGAACCATCCCTCCAACAGCCCCCATGCCTATGAAAAAAGATTTGCCTCACTCCGCTTGATGTCCCACCAGTCCTTTGTCGCTGGACGGCGCTGTATGCTTCGCCTCCACTGACACGGATGCATCCCTGCTAGCTTTCGTCACCTACCTCGGCCTCAAGTAGATGCGGTTTGAAAGCTGGACCAAGGGTCCTGCTGTGTGTGCAATTCTAGATGTTCGCAGCCCCAAAATGGACACCGCCAGCCCAAAGAACGCGAAAACCAGCGGCCACCCGGTTCGCGCTTTTCAGTAATTATGAACGTCGCGCAATATGGCATGAGCAGTGAGCAGGGTTAGAAACCAAACGCTTCACCAAGAACAGACGTGTCTGGGTTCGACTCTTCCGGTTGACCTGCAAGACGAAGTTGAAAAGATGAAGGGCCACAAAAATATCACCACTGAATTCGAAGCTTTGTGCATGATTGCGCGCCCTGGAACTGGAAGTGGATGGGGTCTTGACCATGAAATATATCCTCGATCACCAAACAGGGGGTATACCACTGAACTTCGGAACAGGAGACCATGCCGAGTACCTACTCCCGGTTCGAATGAAGCTGTGAGAAGGCGACAGGGGGTGCCACCCTTGGCGTGAAGGGCCAGGGGTTCAGCAACGAAGACCAGTCAAATCACATGTCAGGTAAGTGAAAACAAACAGCAGGTTCAACGGTTCAACCCAACAAAAAGAGCAAAACGCCAGTCAAAACGCCAAACATTCTCGTTTGGTCGTTCCTTTTCCCTCTATCGGCTCTATCGGCCTGTTCCTTTTTCTTGAGGTGCCCAGCCTGCCGGGTGCTGCCACGTCCGCCGCCTTGGACGAGGCGTTGGACACCACTTTTTCATTGAAGAACCCTATAGACTACCCCATAGGTACCCCCAATAGGTACACGCCAGGTGATGGGTCCTACGGTCACATAAGGCCAACCTCTCGGAGGTGCGTCCCTCCGGCTGTGGAACGGTGTTCTGCGGCTTCGCGCCTTGGCACGGTCGACCCAGGACGCGGTCGTCGGTGTCCTGCCGTGACCGCGCTGCAGGAGAAAGCGAAAGCAGATGCCGCGAAAGAGAGAAGGTCGAGAAGGGGTGGCATGTTTTTGCAACACGTTGGGTGAAAAAGGAAACACCACGAAGGCTTCGAGCTTGAGAAATCAACGTCGACCGTGCGAAAGGACCCTTCGTCATTTTAGGGCCAGTCGTGCCGCGGGATCGGCATCAAAGAGAAAGATGTTCAGCATCAAAAGGACCATGTAGCATCAAACATGGTGCATAACCAGCCACCACCACCACCACCACCACAACAACAACAACAACAAACCATGCACATCCTGGCTTGGGCCACTCCAGAGAGTTTGTTCTTTCTTTTTTGACCTTACGGGCCCCCTTATTTGTTGGGTGCCCCAAGACTGTTGCCAGCAGTTCAGGAAAACGTTTTGATCCCTATTAAATCACGAAAGCTAGCACCAGCTAGCTGGAGTTGGTCTTGCTTTAGCAAGTGAGGGGGTGGAATCATTCTGATATGTTGAAACATGTTGATGCATTTGGTTGATCCTTACTATCACCTTGTTTCTTTGATCCCTCGCCCAAATCCAGGTTTCTCACGGCGGGGATGCTTGTGCAGGTTAGAGCTGGAGGTGGAGGTGAAGGACCTGGAACAAACACTCTCCCAGCTCCAAGGCCGGTGCTTGGACCAAACGGGTTAGCAAAGAAAACATCTCAAAGAGAGGGCTTCAAAAAGGAGACCTCCGAGTGGGATGGGGGTGATGGTGGGAGGCGAGTCTTATATTCATTTACTTGAGGATTCCTCAGTTATCTTTCCTTTATTTTTGTGGGGGGGGTGTAGTCCTGCATGCAGTTTGTGTTTGTTCAGTTGGTTATTTCCCTTTCCTTCTTGGCCAACAAGAAACAGATGGGTTCTTTGATGTTCCTTGGTTTTCTGCATTGGTCACAGGGCGGGTCGTCTCAGAACCGGAGAGTCCCTCTTTGGAGAAGGCGCGCTTGGGGGGGCCTGGCCGTCGGACGTGACCGTGGAAACTGTCCTGCAAACATCTGGCAACCATGGCAGTCCAAGACCATTTTTTAAAACGGTCTTTAGGTGATCCGAAAAGGAACTTCCTTTACTGTGGTGCCTAAAATAGTCTTTGGACTTCTAGGGGCAACAGTGCCGTGTTGAAAGTAACATGCCTTACCAGCAGTCACCATACCATCAAGACGAGGGTG